GATAGAATTAAATGGATATTTATAATAAAGGATTCGGGAGAATACTACTAAGATCAGTAGTATTATTTATTTTTGATAGTTTTCAAGACATGATGGCTTTGATAACATGAAGATTTGACAATGGAATATGAGCTATTTATATATCTTCGAGCGTTGCGGGAAAAGCGTAAGGTAACGCTCTTTTTAGCTAATTCTAATTATGTAATTTTTGCGCCGTTGCAGATTTTTCGAAACGCTACTATTACTGCGCTTGTTGTAGATTTTTAAGATGCCGCTATTACTGCGTTTGTTGCTGATTTTACGAGACGCTGCTTTTTGTATTACTGAGCTAAATTTAGTGTTGATCATGGGATTGTTTGACTGCGGAGGAAGATTTTACCATGTGACTTACTTATCAGCTTGCCGTAACAGTCGTTTCGTTTTTGAATATCACAGTCTCTCAAAAAGTAATGGCGTGGCGTGTTTAGACATGATAACCATACAAAAAATTCAAATTTCCAAATATTTGTAAAGTTTGTATTATGGAAAATTTAAAATATATCCGCTTTTACTGTAAAGCTATTAATCTTAAGCTAAGAGCCTAATTTTTTTTTTCAAATTAAAGATCAAGACAAACAACTGCCAATATGTTTATATCAAGGTTATCTAATGACGTTTTTTACTAAAAATATTTCTAATATTTAAAATGAACTCATTCTAAAGAAAACGCTAAGGCGTAACGCCGCAAAAACGACCGACCCGACGAAGGTTGCCATGCCACTAACAAATCTTTACGGGTTTGGTTTTTTTTATCATGCTGCACTGAATGATACGTCACTTAACCTACGTTTTTCAGTAATATTAACCCTCTCTCCTCAATCCAACAAAAGTAACTTGGCATGGCACTAAGTCAGTAACAATCAGAACAACAGGGTATGAGAAAAGTTGATTCACATTATTTTAGTATGTGTAGCACATGGATCCAATTTACTTCTGATGCGTATCTTAAACTCAAAATTTCGTGTATTTTTGCGAAAGGATAATCGAAAACATGTGGCGCGAGCACAGAATAACTGAAGCTATTATTAGTAAAATTACACAGAATCTTACGCGATACAGAAAGCGCCAATATAAAATGATTAGCAGCTCATATTCGAAGACTAAAGACATGATATTAATATATCAACATGTTTAAGGCTTGAATACGCGTAAACTATTTGTTTTTGCCGAGAAAAATACGTTGAAATCGTAGTTAATCTGTATTTTTGTTTAGCATTTTAATTTGATATAGGGAAGAATATTTATTTCAAAAGTAAATGTTGAGGAAATATGCATATTATAGGATGTGTAATGTAATAGTTACCTGATGAACACTGGCGATTGCTTTTATAGGAAAGCAAAATAAATTTTCGTGATCGAGTAGTCGGCTGAATTAGACAATATGTTCGGTACAAAGCATCGCCAAATTTTATAATTATTTACGTAATTGACATTTTGGGTAAAAGAAGTAAAACCATTGAGAAAAAACTTGACAAGCAAAATTTAAAATACTGCATCAAGTATATAGCAATAGTAGGTTACATTTTTAAATTGAAATAACCAGTCGTTAATCAATGCGTATTCTAGTTACATCAAAGAATATAAGAAATAACACAGGTATGTCGGTTTATGCACAACTGTATAATGAAATAGTCTTATTAAAGCTTACCAGAAAAAATAATTGAAGGTTAGTGCAAAGTGCTACATATTGGACCTATTTATTAACTTTCTCTATACTATTTCTGGTTACATGTGTTCAGCTGTAGTGTCATTATTTTCTTATTCTTTACTATTCTCATTACTTTTTTTTCAGTGCTAGTGTCGTATTCGCCTTGGAAGTATTTTCATTGTCTCAAGACGAATCACTGAGAATGTTAATTTTCGTTTCTTTCTGTTAGTATTGGGGGTGTTGTAATTTTGTTCTATGATCGATTTGCCGTTGGAATTGTTTTCAGCATTTTCCCAAGGGACTGTGATCACACTGAGAGCGAATGCTCTCTTGTACGAGAGGGATAGATCCGGCCCCCTGCTTTTCTAGAAAGAACATAATTCCAGTCGCACGCCCAATGAATTTATGCCTATACTTTAATCAGATGAGTTAACATTACTTACTGTATACGGACTACGACTAATACATATCAGACTTATTTATACGTGTAAACATTTAGGCGATGGCTTTTTTGGGCAAATGCGCTGACAATGTGACGGGTAGGATCAAAGTCTGTATATTGGCGCCTTTTGAAGGGTTTAGAGTTTAGATCGTCACATTATGTTAATATTACTTATTGTTATTCTTGCTTTTTCCCGTAACAGTGTTATGAGTGTTATGCTTACTTCATAGGTAATATAATGAGGATTGTGAGGCTATCAAGTAACACATGGTTTTTGTTTGTTTGTTTATTGGGGGAACTTTTATTTCAGAGGGCAAAGCCTATTCGCTGACTAAATTTATACTACCTGGCATATTTATTGCCAATCAGGTAAAATTGAAATCACTAACGATGGCTTTGTTATTAATAAAGAGAAAACCGAGTTTCGGTCAGAAGAATCTTTTGTCTTCAATTTGATTATATATTAATTAATATTATACAAAATGTTACAGATATCACACGAGGGGCGGGCGCGGCCTCACACCCCGAATAGCTCCCCAAAAATTTCTAATAGCTAATATAGATGTTCGAACCTTCACTAGAAACTCTACGCCCGTTATCACTACTTTGTATAACCAACGTAAAAGCAAGTTTGATTTTACGATTTCTGCCAATTCGTTTGCTTCCTCATTTCTTATTTCATCGAGTGCAGCATATAGCGAGTTGAGAGGGTCGTCAGAATTTAGAGTATTTATCAAGATATTATACAAATGGCCGAAGCGCGGATTTGATTCCAGAAATTCCGTCTTAATCCGATCTAATTGGCGAAATAACGAATCGTAATTCCGTTTCTGAGACTCATTGTCCAACGATTCTAATTGTTCATATACTTGTTCCTCTTTTGATTGCTGCTTGGGGGTTTCATCCCAACATTCCGAATATAACCCAAAATAAGCTTCAGGTGTTCCAGGAGCGTGAGGATCATGATATCCTTCCAGTCTTTGGCAAACAACTTGACAACTGTCAGTACAAGATTCATTGTTCAACAATGATTCTAATCGTTCGTATACTTGTTTCACTTTTGGCCGCTGCTCGGGGATTTCATCCCAACATTCTGAATATAGTTCAAAATAAGCTTCAGGTGTTCCAGGAGCGCGAGGATCACGATATCCGCGTAGTCTTTGACAAACAACTTGACCGCTGTTAGTACATCCTTCACACGGTTTCTTTTGACTAGAAATCTCCCACAACACAACTCCAAGGCTGAATATATCTGACTCTTTTACAAATCTGTACTCTTCACATGCGAATGATTGGGGATCTTTGTACGATGATGCACCGCTTCCTATCGATGAAGATATGATGTGTCTCGATAGACCAAAGTCGGCGATTTTTACAATGCCATCCTTGACAAGAATATTGGAAGACGTCTGCAAATTTAATACGCATGGCACTGTTAGCCCACAATCATTAAATAGATGAGAACCAATATATAGTTTACATTACCAGATCCTTGTGGATGATGTCGTGATCATGCATGTACTTCAAACCATTGGTGATTGCCAAGGCCAGTTTGTACTTATCATACCACGTTAGCCGATTAGAATGGTCTTCTAAGTACTTATGCAAGGGGCCGCCATCGGCATATGCAAAAACCATGCAATAGTTACAATAGTCGTCGTCCTCACCTTCCTCTTTATCTTTATAATTAGAAATGCATAAGTCATGTACAGAGATCAAGATTATAATATATAACAGATAACTTACACAAGCCCAAAAATTCGATAATATTTGGATGGCCGGTTAACTTATGGTGGTTTTTCACCTAGTGATAATTATCGTACTTAAATATGTATGTATATATAAAACCAATATACGACAGTGGACGGCAAAAAGTCAACACCAACCTCTTTTGCGAGCATTTTGTTTACTGTACTCTTATCCTCGTACGGACGGCGACGCAGCTTTTTTATTGCAACATGCTTTCCAGAGATCTTCATTATTGCTTTGTATATTATACCACATCCGCCAGCATCTACAGCTATATGGCTCTTGTCAATGTCGCTTTGCGAGTAACATTTGAGATTGCATTCTTGGATATGGTTTTCTATCGGTTTCCAGCGTTCAGGGGGCCGTCGAGCTTGCTCAGTGTTGTCATTGGAGTGGAAATTCGTCACTTGCTTGCAATTGTGATCCTGTTGCATGAATTCTAGCCGAAAGCTGATGCGAGCAGACTGTGAAGCTTAAAGGTTTGCTCGTCCGTATTTATGATACTTTTCTCTCTTATAGCTGCAAGACTGCAAGACATGCTTGCCGATAAAAAAATCCGCCAAAAATAGGTGATTGCTTAAATTGGAAACTGTTTATTTTTAATTTTTTTTGCGGGGGCTGAAACGATGCAGATTGCACGGCTTACTATGCAGGAATATTCACATGCTAATTCATTGCTCTATTTTAAACGTTATTAATATATACAGCAGGGGGCCTATTGGCGGTAATATTAAACAAAACTTTTTATTGTACATTATAATCACAGAGCTCAATTGTCTTTCTTCGACGGATGCTGCCTTGTTTGCGATGATCATAAAGCATTGTTATATAAACTTGCGTTTCAGAGACAATAACCTGATAGTCATTATAATTTCTGGTATGCTTGATATAAAACGAGTATTATAGTATGATACTCGATCAGTTTTTACATCTACAGTGAGTGACATATGAGAATCATTTTACGAAAATCTCTATTGTCTATACGTACTATGAGGCTAACTGGTGCACTTTTCAAGAAAAAATCCCATCACTTCTCACCCTCATCAAACTTTAAAACGATAGGAGCGATAGTGGGATTGAAACCTGTCATAACGATAAAATCATTGCGACTTACATAATATACGTATAGGCAATAGTGATTAAACATTTACTACCGGCTAAACGTGAACATATTTGAATTGTTGCAAGTTCATAGACATTTCTCAGCTACAAAGTGATTTATTATGATTGGATTCTTTGGCACCCTTACACTCCCGTCTACTGATTACAGGTTGCAATGACATATAGATAACATACCGTATGCCAGTTAACAGGTGTTGTGCAATGTGATAGATTATTTGCAGTAAAACGTAAATTGTCTTGTCGTATGCATCGAGTGTTGGTGACGTCACTACTAACAATAAGGTATACCATTTCAGCATTTACAATGCGGGCTGATATGTTGTGCTGCATTGACGAACGGGCTGATACGTTGTGCTGCATTGACGAATGGGCTGATCAGGCGGTCTCAATAGCCGGTTGGTTTAACCATGAATTGTTATGCCATATTCGATCATCTCACATCACTACCAGGTCAGAATGTGTTAACTATGTCTTAAAATGTATTTCCGTATTTTGCACTATAGTAACCTGAACAGATCCAGATGAGAACTCTCGAATTTATTTTTAGTCATTCAATCCATGTACGGTGCCGTCATTTGTACAACCAATCCTGTTGCTTATTATCTTTGCTTTTTAAGGCAAGATTTGCAAGGTGCTTCTAAATGAAACGGCCACCTAAACACACGGCCTTCATTGGATTCTCAGCCGCAAAGTATTTAATATAAATTTTTAAATTTACACTTAGAATCCAAATGTTTCTAGTGTCGCTGTATTCTTATTCTCCCCATTCTTCTGGAACGTTGATTAGATGGATAAATAATTATCCTACAATGAATGTTTGTGCGAAAAGTAAAGTTATATCAGTTATTACAATAATGAAGTTAAGTTGAAAACAATCATAAGTAGCAAATATGGTGAATGCTGATAAATACTTGTAAGAAGGAGAGCAACAATACCACCTTTGTTCGATATGAGAGCTAATAATTGATATTCTATCTGCCAGGTAATGATAAGTTACAATTCTATTAACGGGTATGTTAATGTTAGGTATTGGAGTATGAAGTTAATAATAACAATAGACTTAATGCTATCCAAATGAAAAAAAAAAGGCTTTAATAAATAGTTATGATTAAAATGTTCTTATTTAAGTAGTCGTATGGCGTTTGCAAGTTACCGTATGAGTATATAAAAAAGGCAGAAGTTTAATTAATACGAATAGACAATGGTTACATTGTTCTCTTGGTAGGATCTAGCACTGCTGATCCCAACTAATTTTCAGGTATACTATGGCGAGAAAAGTACTATTAATCCTAAATATGGAAATGTTGTCATTTTCACTGCTTATGTATCGGGACGTGTTTCCAAGTGCTATAGATTAGTTCCCATGGCTTCACACAAATTTAATTACCCGCATTAGTATTTGTTTGTGGTACGACCCCTTTCCGTGTGACGTATTATATATTCGTCATAAGTATCAATTTTCTCAATATTAGTATTGAGAGGACATGGAAACTGATGAACGCAGTCTTCCAGAATATCTGGAAAAGCTACTATTAGAACTGAAAAACCTTGAATGGATTCCCGACTCGGAAATTACGAATGTAGAACTGATTCAAAATTATACCAACCGAACTATCTATTATGCAAACAAAAAGTCACAGTACGGAGATGTCGAAATTATGTTAGTATCGATAGGAACGGAAAACAAGTGCACGCAGGAATTTATGCGTGAATTTGCTAAAACATACTCGCTTCAACAGCAAAAGTACAACAATTTGTCCACGACAAGTCAATTCAAAAGATATCCAATATGGCTTAAACGACGTAACCAACTAGTGAAGGGATTCACTAAATTTGAAGATAGTTACTTCATGGTAGCTGATAGGCAGTTTTATCACTGTTATTCTTTGTATGGATTTTGCTCTGTGTGTGGCAAACTTAGGTGCAGTCCCATATGGTGTATCTGTGGTCATAAAGAGTCGTCAGATGGCTGGACTAGCAACAATAAGGAACTTGATAAGATAATCAGAGATTCACAAAAGCTGACAAAGACCGCAAATGAAGCTTACATAGAATGGATACCATTTGATTGGGTGAAGATTTATTCTCAGTTGCTTACAGGTTTAGATTATGGTTTACCCACATTTTATGATGTAGATTTGGTTCCACTTGATATATCAGATACAACAAGCTATCAAAAGGTAAGCTGTTTAACTGAGTTTGGCAAATATAGCTGAAAATTTGCTCACTTTACAATTTGCTAGATGCTTGATGATTATCCAGATATATTTGATCCAAAGATTTGGATTACCATTGGAATCACATATCATGCAGCTTGGCAAAAATATGCACTAATTAAAGTTGATTTTAAAAAAGCCACAAGTGGATTATGCCTGGCATGTACAGAACATCTGCATTCAAGTATAAATACATTTTGCTTTGAGTGCAAAGTACCAAGGCCTTGTGATTGGACTACTGGGAACAAATCTTTGGATGCATTTATAATGAAATCATGGAACAGTGTTGATACTCCAATTGACAGTTATATACAATGGATAGAATTCACTCAGCTAACCAATATTCAAGAGGAATTATCACTAGAACACGAATGCACACATGTGGCAGAGTGGTTAGAGCCAACTGTAGATGGAGTTTGCAAAAGAAAAACTATGATAAAGATGATAACTGAAGGGCAGAATGCTGAAATGTTTGATTTCAATCAGGTAAAAGTATATGCAGTTAAAAACATAAGCAATGAATTATGCTAATACCACGTAATTCTATTGTTTTACAGTTAACTGAACTATACCCAAAGATTTTAATGCCTTACAATACAAGCATCATTGGTATCACCCAGAAACCAATTACAAGAGAATACTATCTAGTGTTCTACTATAACCTACAATCATTTTTCAATAGATTTTTGCAAACTATGAGTTTCAGCAATGATTATACATTAGGTCTTTTAGATTTTAATGATATCCATGAAATCACAAATATTGGATCTGGTGGCTATGGAACAGTATCTATGGCCATATGGAAAGCACCTTTTAAGGAAACTGAAGTTGCATTGAAACGTCTTACCAATGAAGATCCTAGTCAGAGGTTAGAATTACTTATTTCTGAAGTATGTGGCATTTTACTTTTTCTATTGTCATTTGTATTGCATGAATTTAAATTTAATAGTTAAAACTTTAATAGATTAGGAATCATGCCCAATGTTCAAGAAGACAAACAGTAAATGCCTTTCTAATAATTCATGGAATTACTCAATGTCCAAAGACAGGAGAGTATTTGATTGTAATGGATTATGCTTCAGGTGGCAATCTCTTTACCTACTTGGATCAATTCACTGACCTGTTGACATGGAAGATGAAAATAGAGCAATTGAACTATATTGCAAATAATTTGCAAAGCATTCATTCTTCTGGATTAATACACTGTGATCTTCATGGTGGGAACATAGTTTTCCAACCATATGAAAGTGCTGATGCTGTGGATGAAGATGAAGATGAAGATGAAGATGAAGATGAAGGTGATGATGGAGAGGACAATATCAATAAGCTTTACAGTATTGCACACATATGTGATCTTGGACTCTCTCAACCAATGAATTTATCTGATGTGAATTTAACTATCAAAGGTGTTTTACCTTATATTGCACCTGAAGTCTTTCATACACGAAAATTTACTCAGAAATCAGATATTTATGCCTTTGGCATTATTATGTATCAAATGGCCAGTGGTCAACCACCATTTAGAAGTTTGCTAGCTGACAAGTGTTTACCATTGTATGTTTGTAATGGACGCCGACCAGAACTACCTAGCTCAGCACCAGATGCTTATAAACAACTTGCAAAAATGTGCTGTGATGCTGATCCAAACAAGCGACCAACTGCCTTGGATATTCAAAATTATATTGAACAGAACATTATGCCACAGGCACAAAATAATGAAACTGATGACAATGTGTGGCATGCTGTCTACTTTAGGGATAAGACAGAACCTTTATTACAACCTGAGAAAGAGGCCAAGTACTCAAGTACACATATAGCATTACCTGCTGGAAGTTTGCCTAATCCAGTAAATTTTGATATAGGTAAGACACTGTGCCGATAGTATGTAACCTAGTTCATGAATTTGATACTTATTGCTTTACTACTTACCTTTAAATTTAGATTCTCAAGAAGTTGACTTCTTTACATATATCTCCAATGGTTTGTTATACAATATTTTTATGCTTTAATTGGGAATGAATGATTAAGAAAATATTAACTGGCTATTTGATTTTCCCAGAATCACAAGAAATCGATTTTTATAATTCAGAGAAATCTGTATAAATGGTATGCTCTATTATTTACAATCAGCAGGCAAAATGTGTCACTTTTTGAAACACAGCCAAATGGAAAAGATTAATCCAGGCATGTAAGATACTTGTTGTTACAATAGCAATATTAATATGCTTAGTTCTTGATTATTATCAGTTTGTTTTATAATTTGACCAAATTGAGTGACTGTGTACCATCCCACTCATTGTACTAATGTTTAAGATTATGCTGACTTTAGAAGTTGAACTAATTGTCTGACTTTTTATTGTATAATCTTACAATGTAAAAATACCAGTGCTGTTCTTTCATATAACAATACATACATGCTCTTCATTGGCAACATACTTGTATTTTAAAGTAAATAAACATAACTTACATACAAATAAATTTGTATTAAATTGAATACACTAATGTTTGTTATTAATTAAACATTCAAGCTATTGACATTAATCAGAAATTAAAAAAATTGATCCAACCAAGGAGCTTATTTTAAGATGTTTATATTTGTATCAAAACTGGTGTTTCTGTATTAAACCTCCACCTTGATTCAAATAAAAATTCTAGAGTCTTTGCTGAAAGTAGTTGACTGTTTACTAATTTTATCATTTCTTAAATCCAAAGAAGTCAGAGAAGTGTTTGATTCTAGAGCCTACTCCTGCAGCTCCAATATGATTTTCACTCAGAGAAGAATTTAACTCTAGATTTTTTGCTATAACTCCTGTATCTCCAATATCATTACCAAATAAATACAAAAAAGTTAGAGAAAAATTTGAATCTAGAGCCTTTGTCAAATCTGTTATTCCTGTATCTCCAATACAATTGACATTTAAATTTAAAAAAGTAAGAAGAATTCAGTTTTAGAGCCTTTGATAAGGCTGTTGCTCCTTGTCAGCGGTTTTCTTCGTGAGGCGGCTGCGCTCCCTCACCGTGACAATAGGCCCTGTAGTGTCGATGCTTAGTGATGAGGCCACCGACTTAGCCAACTTTATTATACTACTTAAGTATATCTTTACAATTCTATCTTTAAGATCAGACATTATCATAGCTAATTATTTCTTTCAGAAAATAATTTTCTTTTTGCTAGACGAATGATTTTGCGTTTGCTATTATCTTTCATGACTTACATTGGGAACATGTCTCGAATATATCTTAGGCACCGCTACTCTTAATGGCCTATTAATTTCGTTAATATATATTTAGGGAATTAATAACATCGCTGTTTTATCATACAGACGAAGACAAATAATATATCACCGAAGATCAGGTTCAACAGATGTTTCTGATGAAAAAACGTAGCGGACGAGGAAATCCCGCTCATATATAAAATATCTAATACCCGTTATACATTATTATTATATTGTAGAGTATCTTGTTAATGAAGGTTAATTTCAGACCCAACATTAATATTTCTCTTTCCACTGCACTGTAATGCACCGATTGGATTTTCATCAAGAGTATCCGCATTTCGCTTCGTGTCTCTATCACACTCTATGGCTCCAATACTCTACTAACATTTTGACATAGATTCCCCCTCATTAACGTAAAGTAAATTTCCATCATCATCACCTGAGTTACTATATTGTTGGAATTAGATTTCTATTGGAAGATGAAACCATATTTTTTCCTTATTGGAAATGAGACTAACCTCGAATTTCCTAATCAAGAATATTTTCTGTACATCTAGTCGTTCCAAAATTACTATATCTATATGGGAGGCAATCATTTCATCGACATTATTTCGAATTTATCCTTTTTAGTAGTTAACTGTCGGTGAAATGTACTGTCGGTGAAATGATTGTCGACAAAATAATACGGACCATCTATACTATAGATATAATATTATATTATAAATCAGCCGCCCATGTGGGTGCAAGTGTGCCTTTTATACAAAAAAAAAAAAAAAAAAAAAAAAAAAAAGAAAAACACGCCCACCAACTTATGGGATGGGTTATGCTGTGAGGGAAAAACTTTTCTATTCCCCTCACAACGCTCCATGTTTTTTGCACTATATTACTTGTATCCATTGTCCGATTTCGCTCTAGAAAGAAAATTCATATGACGTATTCGATACTTTCCTTTATATAGTATGTTATTTACTTTTTCCATGCTACGTCACTCCATGCTAGCTAGAAAGGCTAATGTTCATGGTATTCTTAATATGCCACCTCTCTATGCTATACACAATACTACTAGTACCTATTGTCTGATTCGCTAAAAAGGCTAAACTCGGGCGTATTTAAACTATAGTTGCGTATTTACCTCTGTATAGTATGTTAGTCTTGCCACAGTTTTCTGATATGAACTTTCCTTTATTTATGCCACGTCTCTCTGTGTTACACGCACAATACCCCATTGTCTGATTTCGCCAAAAAGGCCAAGTTATCTAATACCCCGATACTTTCCTTTATAGGACATTATTATTGTGGGAGTTGATATTGAAATCCGGATTTCAGCATCAGCCGTCAATCTACAAAGCAAGAAGTTAAAAGGTTCTTGCAAACTATTATTAATTACAATTATAAATAATGTCTCAACTTATTGATATAGTATATCTCGATGCAAATGAAATGATTTCCGCACGAAGCTACTGTCGATAATAACAGGAAACTGATAGTCAATTACATTGGTGCCCTTCCGACCCATTGCGTAAAATTTTGCATTTGCCGAAGACGATTATGCTCAATTTCTGTGTACAGTATTCCGTGTTCATATTGTTCGCTTTATTATATCCACATCCTACAAAAGGATGAAACCATTATCTATCCTTTCCATTTATCTTTCCCAGAAACGCCGCTCACCACATATCCACGCAATTCGTCAAAAATTGCAGTGTGCAGTAATTGTAAATCTCATCCAAATAACGAATCAATCATGTACTTGCACCAACACCTGCTGCATTCAAGACGTTCCATACGCCAAAAGAAGTATCTTTCTCCTATCTATCTGCACACCAGTTTAGGTCGTTCTGCTGGTGCAAATCCTTTTGTTGAATACAGATCACTTACTGGTCAAATGGGGTATTCTAAGAATCGAAGAGCTTTGACTCTTCATTCTGGCATGCTAGGTGCTTTTTTGCAGCAAACTGATCTGTCTGCACCAGACAATCGCTGGTATCATGTTACGCTACTGAATAATTACAGCAAAACAACCCTTATTTACGTGCATATCATTCTCTAGCTTCGCACCTACTCCATCATTACGGACATGATTTATCTACTTCGTCTATTATTTAGCCACAAGCCACGCATATTCCCTGCTCCACCTGCAAATTCATCGGATATAGTAATGCCTCCATATGTCGTTCCTGAAGAAATACATAACGAAGGTGCTCATTATTCCCGCTTAGCCATAGGTTTTCTTTTAAATAAAGACGAACGACAAAGTCCATTAAATTTTGCTGACTCTGAAATGGAAGCATTATTATTTCCCGGATGGTCATGGTCACTATGGAGTACTCCGAATTATCTTAACGTATGGTAAATATATAAAAGCCCGATTGATGGGATATGACCCTCGCTTCCGACTTCATCCCGTTTGGATGATGTGGTCTTATATACAACTGGAAAAGCTTAGAAAGTATCAAAATACTACACGTATTTATCGTCAAAGTAATTACACTGATCAGATGATCATCGATGAAGATAGGTCAATGCCTTTACCTACTTTCATTCGAACGGGTGATTCATATTTGTCCTAGCTTACTTCGCACAATCTCTTATGTATAAAGTAACAATTGATTTTAAAACTATCAAGTTTTGTCTCAGCTCTAATGACATTGACATGTATAAATTAAAAATAATTGTCATGTGGGTAGTGGTAGCGGCTAAAAGGTTGCTAACAATTAAATTAATCTTGTATTAGTGTATATTGACATACTAATACATCCACAATAATAATAAAGTTATCTTTATTAACACAAATAAAAGGTCAACCCCCCTATTCGACACTCACCTGATTTCAATTTCACTATTTCATTGGTAACATCCAACGATTGATTTACAAAAGTAGTAAGGCGTGTAGATAAATTTAGTTAGCATCATGCAGCGAATAAGCGTTTGTTTTTACATAAATTTATATTTAATTTAAATTCAATTCAATTCAATTCAATTCAATGATAAATTGAATAAGGGAGGGAGGTTGTTTATATAGGCTTCCGTAAAAAATTGTGGGAGTCACAAAAAAATTTCGTGTTACACCGTCACGCAGTTCTGTTTATACAATCTGTTCAAACAATTTATTCGTTTTATTCCGTACAATAAATACAATGAATTCACTCCCTTAATTGTAGCGCGTAGAAAGCAGTCATAACTGAAAGTAGACGTTTACTACATTAAAGAGTTTGACAAGCAAGTAACACATCGCTTATCGCGAAAATAACGCTAATGTTAACGTTGATATTGCGACTCTATCCGCAACCGTCTTTCAAGTAAATCATCAATGACAAATCAAATGTTGACATCAATCTGAAACTTTTCCGCAGTAATCTACTTCTAAAGACCATGTGGCTACCAGCCATAAAGCGTGACGATCAACCAATGCTAATATTGAATAGTTCGACAAGCACATAACAAATCAGTTATCGCTAACATCGACGCTTATCCTTAACCGTCTTTCAAATAAAAACTATTAATGATTAGTCACTCAACACTAGCCGTTAATGTCAAAAAAATTTTACCGCAGTAAATTTATTTCTAAGCCGCATGTGGCAGACGATCAATTAATACAAACATTGAATAGTTCGACAAGCAAATAACAAATCAGTTATCGTAAAAACAACGCTAATATCGATGCTTATCTTTAACCTCTAAGTAAAAATCATCAGATATTGATTGGTCATTCAACACTAGCCGTCAAAATCTTAATCTTTTACCGTGGTAAATCTATTCCTAAATCGCAAGTGGCTATCAGCCATACTTTCCATTGCAAACCATCAATAAAATAAGGCGTTATGTTTACGCGGGCCAATACGGACTTCGATTCTACTTGTCCACATCGCATCGGCAATGGAACAATCGCGTTTGTCCAAAGTCTGATAGTGTACGTATCAACTGTACTCGGAAAAAAAGTTTTCGACTGAAATATGACAAATACATTTTTATATTATCTAGCATTATTTAAAAATTAACGATGTAAAAAAAGCAAAAATTATAAATTCGAAGATTAACACTGTCGTTCGCAGTCAATCCATTACCACTAATTATTATTATTCATCAAATATAATTACAAGTCTTTCAGCTATTGTGTATATCGTTTCTATCACAGATAAAAGGTACAACGAAAAAGGTGTTGCTATCTCGAGATTCTTGACACGGAAGACGGATACCAAATATACAAGTTTACCTCTTACGCAAACTCAGATAATGACTTAATTGACTTGGACAATAATTTGTACAAAGTTACAAATCTCACACCAGCCAAAGATAATTCCTGTAATGTCGCAATTACAACAAGCATTCGGTTACCATATAGACGAAGAACATGCACCCATCTCAAAACCAATCGCCTATTTAATCGGTAATACTACAAACTATGCAGATACCACTAAGGCAGGTTATACGTTGCCTATACAAGTGAAGCCTTACTTATCTAAAAATCAGTTCCAACCGTACACAATAATGTTAAACTATCCAACTAATGGTCGTTTAAAGAACGGCCTCACAAAATCAAAAAAAAAAAAATAATTCGTTAGTGCATGTAACTGGAATTTTGTTCTTTTTAGAAAAGTAATTGTATTGTGAGTTATTGGAATTTCAATTTATTTTAGTCCAAGCCCGTACAGATACTGATAGAGGGATCACAGTCCCTTGGAAAACCGCTGAAAATAAAAACAACAGCAAATCGGTCATTAAACAAAGAATTGCGCAAGTGCGGCAGGAACAATCCACAAATTGCACCGTCTCCAGTTATCATACCTAACGACACCCCCAAACAGAAAAGAGCGATATCTGCAAAACTTTTCTCTCGTCTTCAAACAACAAAAATACGTCTAAGATATAGATACAAATACTGAAGAACAAGAAAGTGATGACGATATTATAGTTAAGCAAGAAAATAGTACAAAAAAAGACGTGCAACCAGAAATAGTACAGGTAAAAACCAAAAGTTAACTATACAAATGTGTTAGTCACAAAATTACCCTTCTTCTCAGCTTACTTCCATATACTTTTATTTTTTTGTCATGTAAAATTTAATCTATGATTAAAAATTTATCCCAACAAGCCTGCCCGACGAAGCCGGGTAGGCATAAATTAAACTTCTAGTTCTTACATCATAATAATAGTCTTGTTTCTCAGAAGTAATAGCAATTATTGATTTACAATACTATCGATAATATAGAATAACATGCTTCAAAAAACTTGCCATCGAGTCTAGATCCATTTTTCCTAATTCTATAACTTTAAAACAAAAAATTCTTCAACTATTAAATATATATTCTATTTCACGTGTATTACCACGTTCTAATTATATCAATGACAACAATAGTAAATATCGTTATCCATCTTTATTCTTTGTCTTTGCGAGAACAAGCAGCGCAAGAGGTGCGCCAATAACATAACATAAGATATTCTAAAGATAATGTAAATCTGAAAGCAAGTGAGTTGACACCCATGAAAAAGAAGACGACTGTAAATTTAATGTATGCGTTCTATTTAATTGGTAAAGAAAATAGGTCAGATATGCTAGTAAAAGTAAACGATGGATTTAGACTAAAACTATCGTTTGAGTAGTTTAAGTGAAGCAATAATATCCGAATACAAGTTGTCATTGGAATTACCAACCTCCTTGGCGGGGTTTTGATCGTTTTATATTCATTGTGTGAATGCAAAAGTTCGTATGCTACGGTTCTATCCCAGCGTTTTTATTTTGGCATTGAAAACAAATCCATAACCTCTGCCACGGATACACATGTCATTAAAAAATAAAATCGGATGTTTTCATTTTCATTATCAGACTGACTTGAGGCCATGTTTCGACAACAAGCTTTTTTGAGTGGTGTGACTAATATCACGTGATGAACTACCCTTCGGAGCAATAACAGCAAGAATTAAGCGTGGGTGGGAAGAACTTCTCTTATTTACTAGAACGCCAATTAAATATATTTGTTTATTTTTAGCAAATTCTACAATCAAAAATACCAAGTGTCGTGAAAATTGGCAATAACAGTAACAAACAATTTATTTGTATGACGTATGCTAAATAGTTATTATTGTGCCGAATTGTATATTTTTATGTTGTTTTGAGTAGGTTAAATTGGTTTGCTCTGATCAGATTCAATGTCGTTTGTATTTTACATAAGTTGATTGTAATCTTCGTAAGCTGCTCAGAAAAGGACAAATAAAGACGAATTTAACAATTTTAATATATGAGCAGCAAAGTGCGGTTTACTATTACGTTTTAAATTACTAGTTATTATACCGTTGTTGAAGAATTTTGATAAAGAAGAAACAGAAATACTCATTTCGGCAATGTATGGTACTGCGCACGGTCAATGGTTCAAGCCTTTGTCAACCGTTATTTTTCGGTTTATAGATAAAGTTATACGTCGCGGCTTTTCAACACATATATGGTTGACTGTATAAACAATCAAGTACGTAAAAGTAGACTTTTTCTTTTGAAACAAATGTTGTTAAAAAGTTAATCCAAAGCAGATACTTAATGCAATATTTATTTTTATGCATGCAGATTAGGACAGTTCTTCCAAAAACATAAATCTTTTCCAGTTATTAATTAATTTGACTTTTTTTTTTGCTTGCGTCACTTTTTGCGTTAGAAACTTTTCTTTCTTTTCACTATAATAAATAACTACAACAAATAATAGTTAAAATATACTGTAAAACGTATTTATTACTTATTGATGTATTAAAAAAAGTAATCAATTAAAGTTTTATCTTTTCTCCATTACATATATGTAAAGCCACGATCAACGTATTATTGCATCCAAAATGATTAATTGAAAAAGCATCATGATCTCACTTCATTTGTAACGATGAGTGATTTACAGACAGACGGAGACATTTATTATTTTTAGTATTTCAAATTTTAATTTATTAAGGCTGAGTTTCGACTGTTCTTTGTTGCATGCATGTTATGTAATGATCACCTGTGCATATTACTAACTTCTTTTGATTCTCTCCTGATGCTTGCATTAACCCGTTTATCGTAATTTTCGTGTAGGGCTATGCCAACTTTTTTCCCGCATGTTAACTACATACTCCTAACCAGTTAAAAAAAATATTTAATGGCAATCAATCAGCACGTAATGGTTGCACGAAGCATGCACAAAATAGAAGAAATCTGGTCGTCAAAAGTTAAACATATAAATGTCACCATCCGTCCAATGAAATTCGTCATCTATTAATGGCAGCGGAAATGTCGTCATTCTTATAAAAAAACCAAACTGAGTTTACTTATATACTCCATTTTTATGCGCTCTTGTTTGTTGCTCGCGCTACGTCCATCTGGTGTTCGAGTAATGTATCTCACCAAGTTAAGGAATATGTCAACGGTAGCTCTATAGGCATTATTACAAAAGCCATTTAGCAAATAGAATAAATCTTCCGCCCTACAAATCGTTTCGCATTTACAATACATAACTAACGTTACTATTATTTGCTACTGGACTGGCAAGACGTTGTACAAATTCCCTACCTGATAACAATCATTTCAGACTCCGTTATCGCCATAAGAAGTATTAGTATACAATAGTATAACTTTATTCATTTGAGAAGAAATATTTACTGAGGTTGTGCCCAACTTAGCGTCGAGTGTACAGTATTTTACAATATACTTACTATGAATTATCTTAGCATCTTATTGCATGGTAGCACACTATATTCTGACCAACGAAAAACTTTGCAAATTCGCATTTCCTTATTACGACACCCTAATATGGAATAATAATCCCTGTTGCAACATCAATAATTTATTTATCACTCAAACTAATTTCACCGATGATATTATATTGATTTATGTCGTTTAAACTTACTTTTAATATTGTTAATCCATCTCTCACAGACGGCGAATGAATTGCAAAAAAAAAACTAAAACAATAGTTTACGCTCCTTGTACATTGTAATATATTATTAATGTTAGACAGACCATTACAATTAGCTTTGTTACAAATAAGGCCGAAATTTACAAAACAAAGAAATCTCTTTGCTATGACATTTACAGCAAATCATCTTGTCATTGACGTGCTGAAAAAGGTTACGACAAATTCTTTGTAATTAAATTCCAATGACTCTACTAATTAGCATATTAGAAGATGCATTTAAAGTTAGTATACGATACACCAAATGTAATTTATGACTGATTATTTTATTAAATTATGTTATTATTATGACTTTTACAAAAAAAATATTTCAACACACATTTATTGCCCCTGCATAATACTGGGCTGTGCATGTGTTACTAATGTATGTGACACAGTCAAGACGTATAACATGAAAGAATGAACAGAACTCCAAGTCAACAGTAATTACAACGATGACATCAATTGTCTCTAACAACCCTGACAAGGAATGGTTAGAACTGTGTCTTAGAAATGAATACATTCGATTTTATGATTATAATGAGTTTATCAACAGCAAATGGATAGGCGGTGGTGGATTTGGTGTAGTTTTCAAAGCAACAGCAGCAAAATCGGGCATCACTGTTGCTTACAAGTTGATTAAAAATTCGAGCGAAGACGGGTTCTTCAAAGACTTTGTAAACGAGGTTTGTAATCATGCATGATAGAATCTCTACGTCTATGAAATTGTGGTTCTTATATGTTGTTTTGTTTCGTAATGACCCATATTCTAGCTCAAGCTCCATCGTAGAGTAGATGACCATCCCAACATAATTCGATTCCTTGGCATCAGCAAAGGTAAATAATGATGAAAGATTCAATGTGTTAGGAAAATAGGCATGCATGAATATAATATACCTTTCAATAGATGATGAGGGAAGATACTTGATGGTCTTCGATTATGCCGACAACGGGTCATTACGGAAATACTTATCGACGCCAGCTATCGAACTAGATTGGCCTGCTAAATGTCAACTGGGTTTGGACGTCGTTAACGGACTGAGATATATTCACAATGAAGAAATCTTGTATAAAGATTTGGTAAGTGTATAACTCATTAATACGAATTTGATTTTTATTTAACTTAGATTGTAATTGTGATATATTAATATTGTTTTCACAAGTCTTCGAACAATGTATTAATTCATGGGAAAACGGCTAAGATCACGGATTTTGGGACATCTGAAAAAGTATTAATACAAAAGACTTCCTCAAATCACCAAGGAACTCAAGCATACCTTGACCCTAGATGCTTTAATGGCAATGAAAATAGACGAAATGAAAAATCTGATATTTTTAGCCTCGGGATCCTTCTATGGGAGATATCCAGTAGAGAATATCCATGTAGTGAATTCAACAACATATCAGACATTCAGCTTTACAGAATGAATGGTGGTCGTCATGATGTAGTTCCAGGCACACCAGAAGAGTATAGAATCTTATATACAGAATGCTGGGATGATGATTCAGAAAAACGACCAACTAGTGAAGAATGCTATCATAGATTATTAAATATAATGAGAAAACTGAAGCAGTTACCAAAGTGTGATTCTAACCAAAATAACAAGAAGATTAAATATCACTCTCTTTCTAATGAGATGTCAGTATTGTACAACAAATTACTGCTTAAGGGGAAATCTCAGGAACAAATAGCTGATTACACCAAAAGTTGGCTGATACAAAATAATGATGAACACAAAAATCCATTGACTACATTAAAGGCTCATACTAATTGTGGACAATGCTTTTGGCTGATTGGATTCTTCTATGCATATGGAATAGAAACAGAAACAGATTTTGGGCAAGCTGTTCAATGGTATCAAAAATCAGCAAAGACAGGCTATGCTGCAGCACAATATAGTCTTGGTGTCTGCTATAAGAATGGGACAGGAGTGGAAAACAATATCCAAAGAGCAGTTGAGCTGTATCAGAAAGCAGCTAAACAAGGATTTGCTGCAGCACAGAATAATCTTGGTCTTTGCTATAAGAATGGGAGAGGAGTGGAAAAAAATATCAAAAAGGCAGTTGAGCTGTATCAAAAAGCAGCTGAACAAGGATTTGCTGCAGCACAGAGGTGTCTTGGTATTTGCTATGAGAATGGGACAGGAGTGGAAAAGAATATCCAAAAAGCAGTTGAATTGTATCAGAAAGCTGCTGAACAAGGATATGCCAGGGCACAATATAATCTTGATGTTTGCTATGAAAAGAATATTCAAAAAGCAGAAGCTCATGATCATGTGGGTGAAGAAGATTCTGACTACATGGTGGTGGCAGTAGCAATATATTCTTACACCACTGATGAACCAGATGAAATAAGCTTCACTGAAGGTGCAGTTATAACCAATATTACATTTGAATCTGATGGTTGGTGGCAAGGCACATCTCCTGATGGAAGCATAGGGTTGTTTCCTGGTGAGTCTAATGGGGTTTTTTCTTTTACAAACTTATGCAAATTGTTTTCTCACTAATTTTATTAGCCAATTATGTGAGAATTGAACCTGAAG